AGTGTTTGAGGTAGAGAAGAAGAGAATCATTTACATATATGTGTTTCCCAGATTTGAAAATTTCAACTCTGCTCGCCCTCACATTTCTTCCCCACGTACTGCCGCTTGCTAACAGTAAACTTTGTTCAATTCTGCCAGGGCTAACAGGAAAACGATAGCGCATCGCCCAGCAGATTCATACAGGAGGAAGACGACTTTGCCAAAAAATAAGTAAGTAAATAAATTACTTTTTAAAACACTGATAAGTAACATCAATAAAAGTTTCATTATTGATGTGGCCATGCTCTAAGCAGCAGACAGCAAAAAACCAGATGACTCTATAGTGTGGTTTACAGCCTGCTCACAGAACAGGAAACCACTCAGCTTGACTCTTTGTTCAAAAGCTGCTGCTAACCTAAATTATCTTCTTAATTCTAAGAGTGGCTCAGTTGAAACTTAAAGATGTGTGTTGGTATTTCACAAACTTTGGGCAATTCCAAGGGTAGATGCTTAGATACTAGATAAAATAAGCGTGCATTAACGCAGTCCTAATGTGATCCCTGGCCACATCTTCATTGCAAAATATTTCTTGTTATTGTTTCTGGATACCAAGTACAAATAGTGCAATGACCCATAAATGTTGCTGGATGGGCTGATACAGAGCTAAAGTCCAGTGGGTAAAGAGGGTGATGGCGAGAGAGCCACCAGAGTAAGGTCAAAATCCTTTTATATGTTTATTCCACACTCAATATCTCTCTTATATTCCCTATGGCAGAGTAATAGCAGGATGGAAGAATACCACATCAGGACTAAGGGAAATGATTATACCTATTCTGCTGGCTGGCAGAATGGGAAGGGAGCCATGTGCAGTGCCACAGCTGCATGCTAAAGAGAGGTTTAACTCTTATCTCCCTAAGCAAATTCATCCCTCGAACAATATACTGAATATGCTAAAGCATCAGTAAGGCTGTTACAACATTTATGTCTAAAATGAATGTTTGCAAAATGAGTAGAGCTCTCTGTAACTGTACCAAACTCAGAGCTGTAAGTGAACAAAAATGTAAGGTTTGACCCCAGATTGCTGAATTTCCAAATCTGCCAAATCATTTTTCAAATTTAATTATTATCCTTGCAGCTTTCACTCATTCTGTTAAGCTAGACTCTTTGAGAAGTTTCATAGAATAATGGCAATTTCTAATATTGAAGTGGAATGGTTTTTCTTTTTTTATGTCTTTAGATCTTGCTCAAACATATGTGCAGCAATGGATCTGGATATAAATCCAAAAGGTAAAATTATTTCAGTATTGAAAAAGGAAGTACTACAGCATGTCTTTTTACCATACGTACTACTCAGAGTCAGTGATAGTTCGTAACATGTAAGGCGTAAAGGATCAGAACATTGCAAGATCATAGAAATTAATACTAATTGTAAGAAAAAAAAAGAAAAAAAAGGATCTTCATTAATTGAAAATTGGATACCCACTAATGAGGAAAGCAGAAAGGTATTTACTTCCAGAATGCCCCCAAAAATGCTGGCTTCCTGATGGTATACACTACAAAAAGCCATCAATAAATCATGCTCTTGTTGGAGACTGAAAACATTACACTGGCTGATGACTTCTAGAAAGTAACTAAGGGAACTTTCCTTTTTCCCATGCCACCGCTCATGAAGTACTCCCCTCTTTTTGCTGTTCCAAAACAATGGGACAATGACGCAGGATCTCAAAATCCGATTCCATGACAGATTATGGTCAGTAGTAAGCATGTGTTTAAATCACATTGATTTCATAAGTAAAACACTGCTCCTACCTAAGTCAGCAGAAAATGATACCATATTTCACAACTGTAGCTAAGCTTAAGACATTTTTAATGCAAAGCATATAAAATCATGCATCTAAATAAGGGCACACCTAGCCAGATAAATTTATTTAGTATATGATATGTTTATGGTGTTATGTGAAGTTTGCTTAAATGCATTCAATATCAGTATAATACAGAAGATTTAGATTGAGGGCTGGAAAAAGCAGTTCTGGAAAATAAAACACAGCAGTCTATCATCTTATTGCAAGTATTTTTTTCTCTATGGATAGCTGGCCATATCACAAAAGCTCACCATTACTGGCATTTATTCACATGCCTTTTTCACATTCTCTGCCTAGTCTTTTGCTTGGTCTTGGAATTAAACCTATGCAATTCAGGAAGCTTCTACTTGCTCTAGCCTCTAGAGGCTAGAGGAAGATGCCAATATACTTTCAGGACAAGTTTTTACACCGTACTTTTAGACCAGACAGAAAAAAAGTGACTGAAAATTCCTATGCAGTTCTTCCTTATGGCATTTTCAGCCTCATTTTTTTCTGTTGAAGAGGTTAGGAGATACCCTGTCAGGATCACAAGGTTTATTAAAATATAACCCACAATAGTTTATCACTTTTTGTTACTGGTTCAAACACCACAAACAGTGACTGAAAAACTACAGAAGTCAATGGGAACAGATTTACCTTCTGCTTTCTCATTTAAAGGCAGCCTACATTTCTGACATTGGGTTTTCATGTACAAATTGCTAACCTGTCACCCTTTTGAACAGACTTTTTTTAGGTCACTATGAAAGGCAGGCAAGGTTGCCACAAAATGCACACAGTTTTATTCCCTTGCAAATTAAAGAGAAATTAATTTCTTCCCTTTTGTCCTTTGACATCAGGCATTCTCTGTCAACAGGCAGAAACACACCCACGCATATGCCATAGAAATAGAACACCTTGCTATTGTTATAACTGATATACTCCATTTATTAATTTCACAGAGGATGTAGCAAAGCAACAACATTTTTTAAGCTGAATAAAATATGATCAGTCCCTATAGCTTGAGAAGGCTCTGACTCCTGCCAGCTGTAGGTCTTCAGCTTGCAGTGAAAAAATATTCTTGTCAGAAGGTCCAGCTGATTGCAACTATCTGACACAAAGATTCTGTCCTCTTTCATCCCTGTACAACAACCAGGGCACCAGAAGCCAGGAAATTGGATGTTCCAGGGTGATATATACAGTAAACAGCAGAAATATTCTCCCCCCAAGCAGTGAGCCTCTTCAACAGTCTCCCACCACCCGGATGGCACACAGCACTTCTCATTCTGCAGGCCCGATACGTTCAGCATCACTGACAGAATGAAATATTCATCTTCTCTACCAAAATGTCATCCTTAAATAACAGGAGGAGCAATTTCTAGCTGGCTTGCACTCCACAGCTAGCACAGAGCAAATATTCGGGCATTTGCCTTATGTAAAGGGAATGCCCGCAGGAGAGCAGCAATGCTGACTCTCTCTTCACTCATGCTGTGCAAAGGAGGTGTTCGAAGAAACGGAGAGGGAAGGCTGGAGCTCCTCCAAACTCTAGTGATCCCTGCATAACAGAGTAGATTATAAACTAACCTGGACATCAAATTGTAAACTGATGTTGGATAGCAATAAATCGCCCCAAAGGCTTGAGTCAAATGGCCCCCTTTTAGCATTAAGCCATGAAATGCACGGCTAATAGCTTCGATGTGTACTACTGTTACTCATTTCTTATTGTTGGGGATAGAATAACCATCTTTTATCAACAGAAGTAAAAAGGCTACTATTTAAGACACTGACTGCCTTTTTCATTACTATATTGGTACCACCTAATTACCTTCATCTGCATCAGTTTTCCTCGGCAATGTCATTGATTTCACTGGGCTTATTTCTGATTTGCACCAGCATAACTAAACAGAAAATCAGACAACTAACTTGCATGAACAACTCTTCTTCCCCCTGCCCTGTGAATGACCCTCTGAGCAGAGATAAAAGCACTGTATACTGAATAAATGAACACTCAATGCCATCTGCTGGGGTATATAAAACTCTGCAATACTTGGCTTATGCAGTATTCAGACCTTAAAAGAACAACAGTGACAAATGTAAAGAGGCTGTTTCGGTGAAGACTGGCTTCTTTCAGAACACAGCTGGAAGGGAGGGTTGTGGGATGCTGCCCATCCTTTGCATGCCTGCACAGGGTACAACACCTGGGCAAGAAGTGGGTCTGGTTTTAACTCTCTCCTTGGCATAGAAAGGTTTCAGTCCAAAATTCTCTCTTCCTCCTAAGCATTAGAGCACCATGTAATTATATGTTGTGGGTTAGGCTTAATAGAAGGACTTTCATGCTCTGATTTTGAAATCATTATTATTATTATTTATTAATTATTATTATTATGTAGCCACAGATGCAAGACTTGTGAGGCTACAGGTAGCCTAAACAAGGATTGCTTCAATAGTCCAGAACAAGAGCACTTACTGGGCAAGGACATACCATGGCTATTTTGCATTAAACAGTCACTGGATTAAATGTGTAGGTCAGGTTAAGGACAGAACTTGGGAGTCTCTTCTCAGGTAAACTCACTCTCCTGTTCACCAGTTCTTTGGCCCTGTAACTCATGCTCTGCTCGCTATACCATGAGAGAACTTCCATGGGCAGCCAGCCACTACCTAGCATTGTTTATAGCCTGGTAGCTGGAGTGTTCTTGGGTTTGGGACATGTGAATTTGAAGCTTCTCAAGCTGAAACCAGGACTCCGTTTTCCTGGGCTACTACAGAAAAGACATCAGCACAACTCATTTTCCAGTTCAGTCTTGAAAGCAGGAGGTCAGATTTTCTTCTGCCACTAAAAGAAAAAGATATGTTTCTATTTGGAAGAGGGATTTCCAGACCAGGATCCCCAAGCTCACCGGGGTGAGCCCTCACAGTTCCGCATGAAGCAGCAAAACTCAGAAGAGAGCGAGAGATGAGTTCAAGCACATCCTTGTCTGGGTATTTTCTGTGGGAGGGCTTAGACATGCTAGTGGTTGTGAATCCCATTTCCACACAGCTACTTCCCCATGCATTGCGTTGGTCAACAAACTCATGGGTGGATTTGCTCCATCTCCTTTGTTTTAGTAACTGTAAAATACTGTGCAGTTGGAAGATCTTTATTCCTTTATAGAAGTTATTAGTTATTGCACCATTTTCTACTGAATGACACCTGCTGACATTTTTTCTCCATTTCATACAGAAAAGAGAACTTTTCCTGCTAATACATATGATTTTGTAAGTACCACACTGTTCTTCCTAAAATTTTACTTTTCTGTCACTTCCTGATGTGTGTTAATATCATCTTGGCTATAACACTGGTATCCGAAACTGTAATCCTCATTGTCTGTTAATGCAAAATAAAGCATGAAAATTTTGAAGTATATATGAGAACTTCTACTTTGTTTTAGTGGGAGCTAGATTAGAGATGCGACTCACTCACTAGTCAGTTCTCCATTTATGGTCTGAATCTAAAATACACCTTTATCATGAGATCATGTGAAAATAACAGGAGTTAAGCTGAACAAGCATGTAACTCAGTCAGTCATAAACCTCAAGGTTTAATATGTAACCAATGCAAATGAAAGCTGAAAAGCTAGCAGTACACATTTCAATATCTGCCCATTTGTATCTGAAAGCTGGTTTTGAGTTTCAATTCAGGCGTATAAGAAAAGACTACAAATACCTTACAAGTCAGAGAAAGATGAAAAGAAAGCACAGGTCTATTGTTTAATAAGCAAGTTGAATGACTAAAGGATGACTAAAGAAGGTTGATGCAATCAATACTTTGTCTGCTTCAGGTTTCATAGAAAGGTTAATTACAATCAGAAGCAATATAGGATTAATACCAACTAGAAGGCTGCAATAGCACAGAGCAGAACAGGGAAAGAACAGCCAGGAGAGTATTTACTTATGCTAAAGCACTTAAGGAAGTATTTGAAGCAATTTCTGAGACATTAATTGATTATCTTTGTGAACTCTCCAAGGAGCCCTGAGTTCCTAAAGCAATGGAAAAGAACAGTGGTAGCCTCAATTTCTTACAAGAAAGCAAGCAAATCCTGAGGGTTCATTGCATGCCTGGAGAGACTATTAAACAAAGTCAGTCTGAAAGCATCTTTTGGAAATAATAACTCTGACATGTAAAAAATTGCTAATGTGAACGTGAAGAACATCTCATCAACTCCTCAATCCAAAGTAATTTCCTTATTGGCATAAATATGACCATTATGGGGAGAAAGAAAAGAGCAGATGCAATAGATCTTGATTTTTGTCAGGTTTTTGACATTTCCCAGAAGACAGTCTCACAAGCAGAAACCTGGAAACCTGGTCTAGATGAGAATGTATGAAGTGTTTGTACAATTGATTGAAAAAATATCCACCCTCAGCCTAGCTGACAGTAGTCTGCTACTGAACTGTAAAGAGTTCCGCAACAGAAAAGCCTGCAAGCCCAGATATCCTGCAGGGTGTGGTGGTATGGTTTTTATGTACTGTTATAAAAAGGCAAATCTCACCCTGAAATGTACTGTCGAGAATACTTCTTGGAGGTCTGCTTGATGTTGTAATAAAGATGTGTACAACCTGGAGAGAGGTCACAGAAAAGTAACGCTGGGGATGCGAGGCTCAGAATCTTAAGTTGGTTGACAACTTGGGAAAGATTTCGAGAATTGTACTTGCTTAGTGAGAAGACTAACAAAAAATATAATTATAGGCATTAAGCATAATAAGGGTTGAAATAAGTAATAGATAGTAATCAATTTTTTTAGTGTCCTTGGAGGGTAAAACAAATTGGTTTAATTTTTAGCACTCAAGAGAAAAAGCATGAACTGAAAGGACAGTTAACTAGTGGAAGAAGAGGCCTCAGAAAGGCATTGATTCCCCATTACTAGTGAGTTCAAGAGATTAAAACAAACAGCAGGGAAGATCAAAGTGTGTGGATGTACCTATACTGTCTCAGGTTACAAAATATGACTTACAAAGACATTGGCTGCCCTCAGTTGAGTTTGCTCAGCAGTATTCTCCACTCTGCTCTGTCTGTGCATGCCTCCTCCTGAAGGAAGCCAGCAGTTGTGTTCCAGCATGTAAACAGCCCCCAAAATAATCTTGAGCAAACCTACTACAAGTGTATAGACACATCCAGAAGACATCCTGAGTCACTCTCAGCACCACATTTCTGTGGACTCCACTGTTCAATAAATACTTGTTATCGTGTTCACTTGGACTGTACATTTGCTAGCACAAATTCTCAAAAACAGTGTGTGTTTTTATTTTAAAGCATGACATTTGTGATAAGCTAGTTAATATATTCTTGCAAGTAACATATGTAAACAGTCAGTGCAATACAAATACCACATGGATAATACTATGATGAAAGGCACAGTTTCAAATGTCTGCAATGATCATAAAATTAAAAAACTCTCATTGTATTTTCAAGAGAGGTGACAGGCCAAATTCAGAGAGACCTAAACTGTCTCCCAAATGGCTACTTTATGAATCTAAATAAAAAATTTAGATCCTCAAAACCCTTCTTCAATTACTTTCCAACCCTTCTATTTCCCTCAGAAAATTTCCTGTGCAACAAATGTCTGGATCAAATATTTCCAGATCTGAAATTAACCTTGAACTTAAATTAATTTGTATTAATTGTGTATCTTTTTTTTTCTATCCAGAACAAAGATTTGACAATGAAAGGCAAGAGTGACTTACAACCTTCTTCCAAGGTACCTGGGGAGGAAGAAGGTGATTATGAGACTGTAAGTTCTTCCACTCTGGAGGCCATCCATGCTTTGAGAATCCTTCCTGCCAAACCTCTACAAGAATCTGAATATGCAGGTAACTTTTGCTGTCTGAGGAAAGTGAGCTAACCCTAGAGGCAAATATGAACAGTACAGACTTGGGGTTTTCAATATGGATGTTTTTTAAAATGAAATGGTTCAACTGAAAAATAAAACACTGCTGGGCAGGAACAAGAGAAGATTGGTCGGCATCTTCATATTCGACAGTTACCCTTACCTCATTAGATTGTTAAATTAATAATTACACGTTGCTTCTGTAATTTTAATATTACCTTCATGGGAGAAATTCTATGATCCTTTTCCACCTGGAATGTGCAAAAAAATGACTGGTCAAACCCATAACCGTCACAGAAAAGCCCTCTGCTATTTAAGCCTAGAAACCTTAAAGACGGAGAAAATATTAAAGAACATATGAAACTTTACTCCAGATGATAATTTGCAGATGAAGAAATGTAGTATTTTTTTTAAAGGTGTTCTCTGCTACACAATAGCAGAAATAAGCCATTACTTTGAGTGTCTTTCTCAGGCATTCTTAACCTTGCAAGATAGCTGCATTAAGTAAGTTTTGGTTTACTAAAGTCCTTCAAAGTCACATTTAACGCCCAAACATACATAGCCAATTAATAAGCCGTTTATGGAAATTAAATATCATCCTAGCCATCCATTGTTCAAAGCCCCTATAAACACTCTGTGGAGGTTTTAAATTATTAAAAAACTGGATGGAAATCCTAGACAAGGAAGAATGGAAACGAGAAACCAAAAATACCTGAAAATACAGGATCAGTGTATCTATGGAAGCTTGCTCCAGTTCACATCAAAGTCAGCAAAGATTCTTCTACTGATTTTTGTGGGAGTTAGTTTGATGTCTAAAAAATAGATGGTTTTTAATGTGAGTAAATTTATCAGAAGATCACAATCAGACTGAACATCCAGATATTCTACATTATATTCCAAAGACTCACTTGTGCACTTTGTTTGGAAACCTGGTTAGTAGTAAAGACTTTCAGTCAGCGGTCAGCATCTTCAGGCTGTCCTGAAATACCAAAACCCCATCATTTTTGTTTTGTGATTTCAGACAAAACCCATTTTTTTAAAAAGCTGGTTTTTGCTTCTGTGTGTATTGGGTTTGTGTGGCAAGGTTTTGGTAGCGGGGGCGGCTACAGGGGTGGCTTCTGTGAGAAGCTGCCAGAAGCCTCCCCTACGTCTGACAGAGCCAATGCTGGGCGGCTGGCTCCAAGGTGGACCTGCTGCTGGCCAAGGCTGAGCCCATCAGTAATGGTGGTAGCGCCTCTGGGATAACATAGTTAAGAAGGGGGAAAAAAAACCTGCTGCAGACAGCAGCCTGAGAGAGGAGTGAGAGGATGTGAGAGAAAACAGCCCCACAGGCCCCAGGCCAGAGCAGCAGGAGGGCAGGAGGAGCTCCAGGTGCCAGAGCAGAGATTCCCCTCAGCCCCTGGTGCAGCCCTTGGTGGGGCAGGCTGTGCCCCTGCAGCCCAGGGAGGCCCACGG